GTGTCTAAACTCTTCGAAAAGTTTTTATTAAAACGAATGAAACCCGTTGTAGGAAAAAAGAAAACCATTCCTGACCACAAATTTGGATGCTGAACAAGACATTCAACCGACCAAATTCACCGAGTAACGGACGAAATAGAAAAATGTCTTGAAGAAAAACAAATTTATTCTGCTATCTTCCTTCATGTCTCACAAGCTTTTGACAAGGTCTGGCACGAAGAACTTATCAATAAACTAAAAAAGTTATGCTACCAAAGCAGTATGTCCATATTATCAGTTCCTCCATAACTGACAGACTAGAGCCAAAGAATAAGATCAATATTCAAAATTAAAAACAATAAATGCAGGAGTGCCACAAGGTAACATATTAGGTCCACTGCTTTTCTTGTTATACACCAGTGATTTTTCGAAAATAGATGGAGTAAAAATTGCAACGTTTGCAGATGACAGAGCGGTCTTTTTTTTTCCTTCCTGAGCACTGTCATAAGTAGCCTAATCGGCAACACTACGGCGGCAAATAGGGTAGACATTTTATGATTAGACAGAAAGCGGTTGTTTATTCGAATGGTGTTTTATTTATTGGGTTGTCCGGAAAATAATGCAGGATTTTGGTATTAAACAAAAAAAAAGAAACTAGTTACTTTAAAGCAATGTTCTTTAATCAAAATAATTNTTTGTCAGTAGATTCTACGTTCAAAAAAGAACCAAAAAATCCTAATTAACTATGGCCCAAATCTCAGCAGTTTCGGAGTTATTCCGCTTTTTCTGATTTTTTTTTTTAGATTTCAATTTATTGCTTCAAACAAACAATGATAATACCAAAATTAAAAGCTTTTGGACAAATCTATTGATACCATTGAAAACTACGTTAACTTTCCAATAAGATGTGATCAATACTAAACTTGTAAACATTAGTGAAATAAACGTTTTAGTAGCGAGAACTTGGGAAAAAAAAAAATTTTTCAAAGTTGAAAAACTATGGCCATTCTAAATTAATATTTCCAAACCTAGAGACCAGCAAATTTCAGGGAACGTACTCCATGTAATATCTTTTTTTTTAGTGGTGCAATTTTTTCGAAGTAGAAGAAATTGATGGACGAAGGAAAAAAACCGTGGCTGACAGATTCTTCTTTGAAAAAAGTAATGAAAAAAGCAATTGTACCACTAAAAACGATATCAAATCCAGTACGTTTTCTGTAATTTGCTGGTTTCTTGGTTTGGAAATAGTAGATTAAAATCACCATAATATTTTTTTCAATGTTTTGGCTACTAAAACCCTTATGTCACCAACGTTTACAAGTTTACTATTGATCACATCTTATTGCAAATTTAATGTAGTTTTTAATGGTTTCAACGGATTTGTCCAAAACCTTTTATGATGGAGTAAAAATTGCAACGTTTGCTGATGACAGAGCGGTCATTTTTTTTCCTTCCTGAGCACTGCAGCTGAGCTGTACAGCTTATTGTACTAAATCCCTCTCCATATTTTTCATCTTTCATCGAAGAAACTCATTTTTGAAGGGGGTTGGGAACAAATTCAGGGTCACTGAGATCCGATCCCGCCCCTTCCATTGATGAGTGCCGTGTCAATTTCTTTCAATTGCGGCCACCGGTCCCCTTAGGCGTCAGAAAAAGTCCTGAGGCGTCGGTGTGGATCGAACCCACGACCGCGGGATCTACTAGCCGAGAGTCTGACGCCTTAACCACTCGGCTACCGTTGGTTCGTCATGTTTTTGAAAATTTTACGCTCTACAACTTTTGTTCCGAGGACTATTTCAAAAACTGAATAAGGAAACGATAATTCTTACTTTTTCTTGCTTTGACCTTTCGGGATGCGGGGTGCTTGTACTTTCGGTAACCACTTTTTTACCCCATCACGGAAATTCAACTTTTCCTTTTCATTTCACAGATTTTGAGGTAGTTTGGCTTTGAATAATGTACTGAAACGATAGGTTTATGTATGGTAAAATCGGGAGAGAGAGTGATCGGTTTTTTTCCATGAGCACATAAAAAACCGTGTTTTTTGTCCAAAAATCGCGAATAACTCGAAAACTGTTAAGAAATCGGTGAAAATGGATGGTAACCAATTGAAAACTGATTAAAATTTCCTATCAATTGTTATAGGCACGATTTCCTGGCGCCATAACTCAATTTGAAGTTTTCGTAAAAAGAGCAAAAATTAACATGTTCCCAAATTTTGGATTTTACTGATGACTGCCCCAAGCTAGGAAAATATTTAAAAAAACAATTAATTAAGGCTTTTAGTTGAGATAAAAAAGTCAATGGCACGAGCGGTATTCGAACCCACGATCTTCGGCTTGATACGCCGCTACTCTACCACTTGAGCTATTGTGAACTCGACCAACTCAGACACCAACTTCCCATCTCAACCGCACCTTTTGAATTTTCCCTCCTTTTTGCCATTTTTCAAATGTCGTTGGGGGTTGGATTCTCGACGTGAAATGGCCACGGAGAGTGTACTTCATTTTTAATCATCATTAAATTCACTAATTTCGTGGTCCGCTTGACCAATTAATATATTACAATTAATTAAGGTTTTTAGTTGAGATGAAAAAAATCCCTGGCCATTTCATTTGTCGTCGAGAATCCAACCCCCAACGACATTTGAAAAATGGCAAAAAGGAGGGAAAATTCAAAAGGTGTGGTTGAGAAGGCAAGTTGGTGTCCGAGTGGATCGAGGCCACGATAGCTCAAGCGGTAGAGCAGCGGCGTATCTAGCCAAAGATCGTGGGTTCGAATCCCGCTCGTGCCGTTGACTTTTTTATCTCAACTAAAAACCTTAATTAATTGTAATATATTAATTGGTCAAGCGGACTACGAAATTAGTGAATTTAATATTTAAAAAAGTCATCTTGTTCTGCGTAAAACGTTCTAAAAAATGCGGCCTGGGGGCAGGTCTGTGATTCAAAAGGCTGTGAGTGTGCTTTTCCAAATCGGCCATTTTTTACCTGCACAAACCAGGTGGTCGGTCAAATACACCATAGACGACTGAAGAGAATTTGCATTGCAGACCTCTTGAATGATTAATCCAGATGTCTGCCAATGGTGCCAATGGTTAGCTTTCATTATAACGCCAAAAATGTCACACTCACAAATTGAAATCCAATCTACTGGTTATGTATAATACACTGCAAAAAATTCCACCCAACTAAAATTCTGGCCTTAATTTGTCTCAATGTTTTATCAATAAATATTTATTTATGCTATGATTTAAATTGGGAATACCAATTAAAGGTAAACACACTTAATCCTTAATCCAAGACAAGGATAAAGGATTTTTTCAATGTTTAATTTTTACAGAATTTAAAGTTTTTATTCAGTCTGATTTGTAACTTGAAGCAATAAACTGTTTAGTTTAAATCTTTGTTTTCTTAATTTCAGTTGTTACTTAAAAATGCCACTTAGTGCTGAGGATGTTGAGCGTGGTTTGGCACTTATTGATGATGAACAACATTTTAACAATTATGAAAGATTTTGATTGACATGAAAATGTTAGTGTCACGAGCGGGATTCGAACTCACGACCTTCGGCTAAATACGCCACTCTTGCGCTATCGTGACATAGATCCACTCGGACACCAACTTCCCATTTCAGCCTACAATCTGCCGGATTTTCCCTCAACTGATAAGAGCAGCGGCGTATTGAGCCGAAGGTCGTGGGTTCGAATCCCGCTCGTGACACTAAGTTTTTTAGTTACGTGGGGGTCAGGTCATTAGTGTCAGTGACTTCCGTCAGGGCTTCCATGCAGTTCCAAACACTCTTTGCTTTAGCTAAGCCCTAAGCGCTGCCTGGCAGTCAGAGAAAATGGATAATTCGAAAGGTTGTAGGCTGAAATGGTGAGTTGGTGACCGAGTGGATCTAAGTCACGATAGCTCAAGTGGTTAGACTGATATATTGTGTAACGATGTGTCAGCATCCTGTGCCTTAATTTTGCTATATTTCTATTCTGGAGATAAAGATTGATGGAGATGGAACTAGGTGGCCTCAACGATTAGAGAGTTGACAGGATCCCAGGTTCGAATCCCGTCCAGAGTATTTACAATTTCAAAAAAACTGAAAAAGTCAAGATAAAACCTAGCACAAATAGCTAGAGCACTTAGGAGAGACCTCGAGAGAGTGCTCGAAGCTCTCAACAGACTAAAATTGGTGGAAAAGTTCAAAACAAAGAAAAGAATGCATTATATTTATTGGTCTGATTGACCAAATTACTTCTTTCAATTTTGTGTAAGGTCTTGGTTGAAATGAAAAAAGTTAGCGTCACGAGCGCGATTCGAACCCACGACCTTCAGCTCAATACGCCGCTGCTCTTATCAGTTGAGGGAAAATCCGGCAGATTGTAGGCTGAAATGGGAAGTTGGTGTCTGAGTGGATCTATGTCACGATAGCGCAAGAGTGGCGTATTTAGCCGAAGGTCGTGAGTTCGAATCCCGCTCGTGACACTAACATTTTCATGTCAATCAAAATCTTTCATAATTGTTAAAATGTTGTTCTTTTGAAATTTTATTAATAAATTACGTCTTCTAATGAAATGTGTGGTGATTAGTGACCGTTAATCGATATTTATTTAGAAATCGTGAGATGCGGTCTGGTGTGATGTAGGTTTCAGAAAAACATTTTCTTTATCGTGCCAACGTTTCGATCTTTATTGAGATCATCTTCAGGGATCAAAGTGTTTGTCTTCTGTGTAATTGTGCCATTCTTGCGTGTCGTGTCGAGAGTTTTTTTAGTAGATGGCTCAAGTAGTAAAGCAGCGGCGTATTGAGCCGAAGGTCGTGGGTTCGAATCCCGCTCGTGACATAACTTTTTCATTTCAACCAATACCTTACTTAAAAAGATTAATTCATTTAGATTGTTGAATTTGGAAATTGGGTTGGAAAAGTAACGCGTAAGTAGACTTTTTTAGTTAAGTGCATCGCGTTGGACTTATTTTGTCATTCTTGGTTGAGTGTAATTCGGCAAAAAATTAAATCAAAGCTCACCTGTTTGCCTTAATGCCGCGCTTTTCGCAGTAAGTTCTTTCTTCCGGCTCCGTTCTCCGCTCTGCAACAAAGTCAGCAAAATTTAAAACGTCTACTGGAACCCGTGAGGCAATCTGGAAAACTCAAGGGATTCCTTTAACCAACATTCCCCCGAATTCTCTCGAAAAAACATTCAGCCCAGCGGGAAACGTCTAGGAAATAAAAAATATTGAATTTGAAAAAAAAATGATGTATATATAAATCGTTAGGTTAAAGAAAGAAAGTAAGAGAATTAGAGTGTTAGAGAGAAATAATTCATTACCTAGGCTCGTCCAATACAATTTTCTCCTCCTCTTTTTTGAAACATGGGTTGGAACAGTCTCTGCCAGAGTTAAAAAATTGTATTGTTTTGTTATACCGAGTGTCCCTAGAGACGCTTACGCCCTAAAAAGGCAGTTTTGGGATTTTCAAAGCCCGCTCTCTAACCTGCATGTTGTACGATTGACAATACGGGTAGGACATGAAGTCCTATGCTTATTTTTTTTTTTTTTTACGGCTTAACAGTAATACTTTTTAAATGCCTGGTTTTGAATCGGATCTTGAAAATCCCAAACGAGTCATCATGGGGTGTGCGTCAAATGAAAAACTCGATATGTGTATAATTCACTGTTTAAACAACAAAAATGAAGAAAAAATACTCAATAATTTATAAATATCAAAAACCAACAACGATAATTTGGAAGTTAGGTCAAGCGTTGTTTTCCTGAGAGGGAACGGAGAAACTAAGCGGACCACCGTTAGTTTACTTATGGTTTAATAAATTTATTTGAGAGTTAAAAGCTCATATCTGTCCCATGTGTTAACTTTTATCCACGATTTTTCAAATCAACAATCAATTGTGCCTGCATCACATGAAAATATATGTATATAAAAAATATAATTCACACCCATATATAATCTATCCATTAAAATAATTTCTGTACAAAGAAAACAAAACTAGGTGCACGATTCTCGCCGTGTCATATTTTTGGTAAATTTACTAGAATTATTGAGTGTTATTGTTTTTACGAATGAATAAAATTGGACACAAAAGTTATCCTTGACACCAATCCCCTTCAAATTAGTCCTCAGTTCAATATTTTATTAATTTAAGCAACACGATGAACAATTATTTAAAAAACTAACAAAATAAATCATCATTTAGAGCGTCAAGTAAAATATCAGCAGAAACTGTATAGTCATAGTATTTTTTCTGGAAAATAACCTAATAAATTAATCAAATTAAATTAGACTAATTTATTAGGTTCTAATTACATGAGAAAATGGCGGGATAAGGTGCGACTAACCTTTTTGATTTTACTACTACTTGCACATTTACTGAAGGATATATGTTTTTGTAAGACTTTTGACATATAACATTTAGAATATACAATTTTTTTTATTTAGTGTGAAAATCGTTTTTTAACTTCCGACAGGGCTATCAGATTGAATAATGAATCCTTTTTTTTCTGAGAAAAAAAAACGATCTGCCCAATTGAATTTGCCCAATTGTTTTTTTCAGAAAAAAAAGGATTAATTAATCAATCTGTTAGCCCTGTTGGACGTTAAAAAAAAGATTTTGACACTAAATCAAAAACATTGTATTTTCTAAATATTATTTATATGTCAACAGTCTTACAAAAACTTATATCCTTCAGTAAAACTGCAAGTAGTAGTAAAATCAAAGAGATTAGTCGCCCCTTACCTCGTCATTTTCTCATATAATTTTAACGTAAAAAAATCAGCCAAATTAAATTTATAATAACTTTCATCTACCAATCGTCTATTCTCGAACGCATTAAGAATAAACTTTTTTATAGTGAAAATCATGTTATGTATCTGAGAATGAAATATAGACGTAGATTTGTGTTTTAGTCACAGCTTTTGTTCGATTTGGCAGATCGTTTTTGTTCAGAAAAAAAAGGATTAATAAATCAATCTGATGGCCCCGTTGGAAGTTAAAAAACGATTTTGACACTTAATAAAAAAATTGTTTATTCTAAATGTTATTTACATGTCGATAATCTTGCAAAAACTTATATCCTTCAGTAAAACTGCAAGTAGTAGTAAAATCAAAGAGATTAGTTTCTCCTTACCCTGTCATTTTCTCATATAATTAGAATCTGATAAATTAGGCAAATTAAATTTGTAATAACTTTCTTCTACGAATGGTCTTTACTCGAAGAACGTTTTTTATAGTAAAAGAAGAACATTTTTATAGTGTTTTAGTCGCTGCTCTTTCAATTGGGCAGATCGTTTTTGTTCAGAAAAAAAGGGATTCGTTAATCATCCTGATAGCCCTGTCAGAAGTTAAAAAAGGGTTTGATACTAAATTTAAAAAAATTATATTCTAAATGTCATTTATATGTCAACAGTCTTACAAAAATATATCCTTTAACAAAAACTGCAAGTAGTAGTAAAATCAAACAAATTAGTTGCCCCTTACCCTGTCATTTTCACATATAATTGAAACCTAATAAATCAGTCAAATTAAATTTGTAATAACTTTCTTCGACGAATGGTCTTTCCTCCAAGAACATTTTTTTATAGTATAAGAAGAATACTTTTTGTAGTGAAAATCTTTTTATGTATTTGAGAATGCAAGATAGACCTTACTACTACTACTTGCAGTTTTTCTGAAGGATATAAGTTTTTTGTAAGACTGTTGACATATAAATGACATTGAGAATATACATTTTTTTATTTAGTATCAAAATAGTTTTTTTTTCACTTCCAGCAGGGTTAACAGATTGATTAATGAATCGTTTTTTTCTGAGAAAAAAACAATTAGGCAGTCAATTGGGCAGATCGTTTTTTTTTTTTTTTTTTCAGAAAAAAATGATTCATTAATCAATCTTATAGCACTGTTGGAAATTAAAAAAAGATTTTGACACTAAATCAAATTCTAAATATTATTTATATGTCAAGTCTTACAAAAACTTATATCCTTCAGTGAAACTGCAAGTAGTAGTAAAATCAAAGAAATTAGTCGCCCCTTAGCCGGTCATTTTCTTATATAATTATAACGTAATAAATTAGTCAAATTAAATTCGTAATAACGTCCTTCTACCAATCGTCTATCCTCGAAGGTCTTAAGAATATTTTTTTTATAGTGAAAATCTTGTTATTGTATTTGAAAATGAAAGATACACGTAGATTTGTGTTTTAGTCGCTGCTTTTTTCAATTTGGGCAGATCGTTTTTGTTCAGAAAAAAAAGGTTTTCGTTAATCATTCTGATAGCCCTGCCAGAAGTTAAAAAAAAAGGTTTTGATCCTAAATTACAAAAATTGTATATTCTAAATGTTATTTATATGTCAACAGTCTTGCAAAAAACTTATATCCTTCAGTAAATGTGCAAGTAGTAGTAAAATCAAAATTGCCCCTTACCCTGTCATTTTCACATATAATTAGAACCTAATAAATTAGACAAATTAAATTTGTAATAACTTTCTTCGACGAATGGTCTTTCCTCGATCCTCGAGATAGACGATTGGTAGTACTTTAAGTTGTTACAAATTCAATTTGACTAATTTATTAGGTTATTTTCCATAAGAAACACTATGACCATACACTTTCTGCTGATATTTTACTGTACGCTGGATCCTTGAACAGATCGTTTTTGATCAGAAAAAAAGGATTCATTAATCAATCTGATAGCCCTGTCGGAAAAAAAAAACGATTTTACACTAAATTTAAAAAAATTGTATATTCTAAATGTCATTTATATGTCAACAGTCTTACAAAAACTTATATCCTTCAGAAAAACTGCAAGTAGTAGTAAAATCAAAGAAATTACTTGCCCCTTACCCTGACATTTTCTCATATAATTGAAACCTAATAAATCAGTCAAATTAAATTTGTAATTACTTTCTTCTACCAATGGTCTTTCCTCGAAGAACCTTTTTTATAATATAAGAAGAATATTTTTTCGTAGTGAAAATCTTTTTATGTATTTGAGAATGAAAGATAGACGTTATTACTACTACTTACAGTTTTTCTGAAGGATATAAGTTTTTGTAAGACTGTTGACATATAAATGACATTGAGAATATACATTTTTTTTATTTAGTATCACAATCATTTTTTTCACTTCCTGCAGGGTTAAGGGATTGATTAATGAATCCTTTTTTCCGAGAAAAAAGACAATTGGGCAGATCGTTTTGTTTTTCAGAAAAAAAAGGATTCATTAATCATTCTGATAGCCCTGTTGTAAGTTAAAAAAACGATTTTGACACTAAATCAGAAAAATTGTATATTCTAAATATTATTTATATGTCAACAGTCTTACAAAAACTTATATCCTTCAGAAAAACTGCAAGTAGTAGTAAAATCAAAGAGATTACTCGCCGCTTACCCTGTCATTTTCTCAAATAATTAGAACAGGACCAACAACAAGAAATCGAGGAAAAGTACAAGATGAAAATCGAAAAAGTCATTTAAATCAAATTTAACCAAAAAAAAGAGAATTACGTATATTTATATAGTTAACCAAGCCATGAGGAAACGAATTGAATTATCCACGCCGAATTACATACCCATTAAATCTAGAGTTTCACCCGATGGTATTGAAAAATACCAACCGGAGGATTTTTTAACAAGAAGGATATCAGCTTCCGCCCCCTCCCCCGGGCAAAAACAATACGTTAAAATATGTATTTTTTTCATTTTTTCCAACTCTTGTTGATTATACGAGAAACTTTTCATTACTGATAATGTAAAAACAAATTGAACTAGACAACCGGTAAAAAATTGACTAATAAAAACTACCTTGAATAAGCCACAAGTATTTATTATACGAGAACAAACTTTACTGACTATTACTTTTTTTAAATATTGATTTAAATCATCTTTTGAAAAATTAGGCTTTGAATTATTATTATTAATCAAAATGTAGACAAAAAGTGTTAAAACCCCAAGGGAGCTTGTAAAATAACAGTAAAATCTATATAAAAAATAATAGGAATTAAAAAAAAAATTTTTTTGAACAATAAGAATGTAAATTACAGTTCATAACAGATTAAAACATTTTTTACAAATAATCAGCCTGAGAAAGATGTTCTTTTTTTAATTTGAAATTTTTTATTTATAAATTTAAAATTTTTAGGAACACCGTTCTCTTACAATTTTGATGCAACAATGGAGACAATATTCTTTCGTAGAAAAGTGACAAAATTCTTTATGCAAATGGAAAAAAAACCTTCTATTCGTATAAAAGCATAAAAATTGCGAATAATTATTTGCACATCTGTTTCATAAATCGCGTATTGGCAACATAGCAGGGAACCAATTTTAGTTTTGATTTTTTTTTTTTTGTTACCTATAACGTGTCATGTACTTACCTGTTGGGTCTTAAGATCGGTGTGTGCGAGTCGGCTGAGTGCTCAATGAAGACTGAACACTTGTTGTCGCTTGACGTCACGCCCACCCACACCCGGTCCGGCATCCCTCATCCCCCATCCAGACCCCCACCAGGTTATGTCAAAAGGGGTGAATCGGAGTAGACCGTTTTCACTTTTTGAATGGGACACGCCGTTCGTAGGGGATTGAGGGGATTGTAACCACCATATTTGATTTTATTTATTTATTTATTTATTTTTTTTAACACGAAGCGACGGATCAAGTTTGCATATACCGAACAGATCACTAAGGGAAATGGATTAAACATGAGCCAATGATATTTTGAAACTTTTACTTTTATTCGGCCATCTCAGTAGGTTAGAGTACGCACGGAAGCCCCACCTTTTTTTTTCTTTTTTAAATTTCATACTATACAGACTTTTTTAAGCGTAATTGTAGAATGCTTGATCGTTGCCTTCCTTCTAGTTGCTTCTAGCTTCCTCAAAGTGAGAATTAGTCTTTTCAGTAGACCAAGAGACACTTGGTCAGGTTATGTGATAAACACTGTATGCAGATTGATGAATAAAGTTGATCAAGGAAGAGTTTGCTAATGGCGTCAGTCCTGTTATTAGAGTTTTTTATATTTATAAAAAAACTACATCTATCATTCCCTCACATTGTCATCTTTTTCCCCCCAAACAACATACCACATAGGTTAGGTAAGGTTAAGTTTCTAACCTATATTTCCAGCAAAGTCAATGTGTTTACATGGGCACTGGAGATATACATAATGTATTAGTCCATAATAACTGATGTTAAAATAATCAACACGGATCACTTTAAAGATTTTTTTTCTTTTTTTAAAGGGGCATCGGACAGCTTGGTCATTTCAGCCCCGAGCACATGCAAAATATTACGACACACATTCAATACGCATTCACACAAATAAATACATTCACATTCATTCTATTTAGTACATGGAATACTCATTATTCCTCCATCGACCTGCATACAATACAAACTAATCTAATTGGGGTCGACTTTTATAAATATTTCGCCATCGGCACAAGTCACGTACACTTGAGGGGCGATGGGGATGCTATCCCACCATCAGCCTTTCCCCATTCACTCTAATAAATACACTCACTCATACAAAACACAGAAACACGTAACACATATTTTGAAGGCTATATACAATAAAAAAATCCGCAATTACCCTAAAAAGCGTAACCCTGAAACTTGCTACCGTGTCTGAGAACCATTCTTAAATCCGGTGGCATGCGTATACACTCTATGTATGGAGCCAAGGCAATTAGTACATTATTCAATATTTTACAATACTATATTTGTAATTTGGTCGTTACTTATCAACTTGGTCTGCACGTACTCACTCTGCTGGTCTGTCACACTAGTGGTTTTTTAATTTCTCACTTTTCAATTATTTCCTTTAGGATACTTTTGCACCACTATGATTATACTGAAGATGGCTGGATACCGAAACGTATTTGACAGACCAATACAGCGAGGATAGTCAGACATGGATGGTAACGACCAAATTACCGGTCCAGTCCAAATCCAGTAAAATGATTGGTGTTCAGTTCAACGTCTGCTCACAGACCAATAAACAAAACCACCAAATAATGACCAACTCAAATCATCGAAGTATGGATGTTATTTTTTATAAAATAACCCTCATCCATTATCTCCAGTTATCAACATCTTCCGTCTTTAATGGGGTACAGCTTGGTACAATTCTAGTTCTTGCTTCACTTCAGTAGAGCCTAGGTTTACTTTTTTGTTGACAACAATAAAATGAAATTGAGAAGAAACATTTACTAAAGAAATTAGCAAAGAAAAGTGATTAAATTATTAAAGTTAATTGTTTCCTAACCTAAGTAAACATTCCATACGTTGGTTAAATCCAATGAGGTCTGAAGTTCCTTGTGTTTACAGTGGATAAATAACTGGCGTACAAAGAATTTATAAATCTATTGACTAGAATCAAGATAATAATATAACTATTAGATAATAAACATGTAAAATAAGATAAATCCATAGAGGGCAGTGGCCAGTAAAGTAGATCATTACAAATTTGGGGGATGATGTTTAACATTCTCTTAGTGAAGTAGTAGTACACACGTTAGAGTAAGCACTGAAAGCTGCTACCCTGAGAAATCCCAGAAGACCTCCCTTTAAGAGTATTCAGCGAAAATATCTCATCGGATACAGGCAATACAGAATCTTCTTTGTGATTCAAAGGAGACATTTCAGAATGCAGTACTGGATAAACTCAGAATTTGAACAGGTTACTGAAGGCTCAATGCACATTTAATGTTCAGGGCTTATCTAGCCTTTTTTCACCCTAACCTCCTGTCGCCTAACTCTGAATAGTTTGGATGATTGTTTTGGAACAAGCCTATGTTGTTCCATGGGTAAAGAAACGTCAATGATGATGTGATGAAAAATATCATCCTCTTGGAAAGTTTGCAGTGTCCACAAAGCAGTAATTTTAATAACGATGGTTTATAAAGTCAAAGTTTTTGTTCTATCTAAGCCCAAGATGCAAAATACATTTAAATTTAAAAAAATACATAGCCCAGAATATGGGTACATGACATTTCAATTGTTCTTGTTATTGAAAAATATGGATAACATCAATTTTTTCTTACTTTTCTGTGGGGAAAGTAAGGTCTGATTTTTGAAGGCATTTAGCTCCGATCTGGCGGGCTTACAGGGAACTAAAGGGACTTACTTCAAACTTTTTGTCAACAAAATTTTCACACCAAATTTTCAATTAAATGTCTGTTTTTGCAGGGTTTTTAAAAATGTCTCTATTAAATATTTTATTTAGCACAGTTAAGAATTTCCACAATCGAACAATTTTCTGCCACTTGAAAACAATTCTAGTTTTGGACTTTTGGACATGATAAGGAAATACTATGAGAAAAATTAAATTGTGGCGCTTTTCTATGGGTTCTGCCAGGGATGAACCGGTAGTTTGGATATTACAGATCATTTTGGTCTGACTATCATCGCCTTTCCAGTCATATTGCCTTCTGCACCGCTGGGTAACAGAAATCTCTCTTCCATGAATTTGAACCTGAAACATTCCACTGAAAATGTCAACAAATAAAAAAAAGTCCAAACTAGCATGGGACACCAAAATGATTGGTAGAAAATTGTTGTTTATAAAAATTAACCTGTATCTCCATAATTTACACAATTTCAACTTAATAATAACTATGTGTAATATTTATTCGCTGTACCTAGAGACAAGACATTTTACAATTTTACAAATTGGCCGATCATTAACAAAGTGGCAAAATTGTGCAAAATGAGAAGGAAATCTTGTCAAGCTGAGAAAAACATTTTTTATTTCAGATTTCACTTTCTTTTTTTTTTTAATTTATTATGATTTTAACATTTAGTCACACGTGTAAAGTTGTAATAATATAAGTTATACTCTAGTGACAATCTGCATTCTTTTAATTAATCCTCATGTTATAAGGAATAATATATAAAAAAAACTGGAATAAACCAAAAATGCAACTTAAAACATTCATCAAATTGGCATAGATTTGTATGTACTTTGCCAGTTATTACAAGTTAACGGTGGTGATCACAGGTGGCAGTGAACTCAGTCACTTAGTTCGAAAACTCCTCACTGAAGATGGCGCAAAAATAACTTTATTACCTTGACAATTTATTTATTGGATTCTAAATAACAGTGTCAATTAACATAAGAATGAAAAGATTATTTTGATTTAGAACAAGAATGAACGCACTTTACACATCACATTACAAAGACAAAAAAAAACCTTCGGTTACTAAAAAAATGTATTATCTTTCTTTTAATTGGTCTGACGTCATTAACCGAGTAACTCAGCGGCCACACAAACTCAGTGCCTGTTCAACCTAAGCACAATTATTTGTGCTGAATCACTTTCTAATATCTATTTTTTATCTAAAATATATTCTTGGACAGTCTAACTTTTAGGTTGTTTTGAGAGACAAATTTCCACTCGATTTTACCAATCTTATTTACATGTTTTGGGGGGGTAAAATATTTGTGCCAAATCTTAATTCATCAGACTCCTACAGAAAAGATAATAAAAAAACATGCTCTACCAAATCTTTCTTAGCATCATGCTATAATAATCAAACATTCAAGCCATACATAAACATACCTGTGTTTAAGGAATCAATGAGGAACAATCTATGGTTCATATGCATGTACCATAATAAGCTATTTTATTTCTAGTAATAAAACATTCAATTTTGGCGTAGTATTAAAAAATATTTAAATTATATGAAGAGTAAAATCAATATAAATGGTAAAAATTACATAATACTGCGTAAATAAAATTATAGCCAGAATTATAGAATTTTACCTTAATTTACATATTTTGGCTCATACTTAATCAAATAAACAAAAAAATTATTAAAAATTAAAAAAATTTAGCAGGATTTCATAGAACTAAACGTTTCAAGACGTAAACAAAAAATTGCGAGAAAAATGAATTTTCAGATGAGGATTCTTCGATATCAAATATAAAAAAGGATATACTTAAATCGTCGAGTTGAGTAAGGGTTTTAAAGGACCTTTATCCTGGTAGAAATCATCATATAGTATAGTGAACATTTTTCAGAAATTATGGGCAAACGTCGTTATCAAATTCGAAGAAAATAGAAAGGGCAAAAAAAATTATGGAAATACATACACTCGGGCAAAATTTAGCTCTCATTGCATCTGGCATTTTATTTTTGTCCAGTACAAAATAATACGCCTTCCAAAAATAAGAAAATATTCGTGGGAGGACAGGGGATAAAGGCAAACAAAAATTTACCATGTACTACAAAAAAATTCCGAATTTGAGAAATCGAGAAAAGTTGCGGTTATTTCGGTTGGGAAAAATAGAAAAAAGATTTTATTTCCACATCATATTCTACAGTTATTCATTATTCAGCTAATATGTGTATTAGAAAATTCGTTTTAAAAAATGTATAGCAAGCTAAATGATTTTTATTTTACATTTTTTTT